ATGATAAAGATCCTCAGTGAAGCACAAGTCCATGTTTCTCACTACATTGTAAGTACAACTTATTAAAAAGATCAGTTCAATGCAACTAATGTCGTCTTAGTGTTATTGCATGATGTTAAAATTGGTTTGCCATGCATTTAGTGATGGATTGTAAACAATTGAAATGTAGCATTTAAGTGTTTTTCAGTTACAAGGTTGTTGTTTTAATAAATCAGAAACTGATGGTGCAGCACTACTGGACCTCTTTATATAGGCATTTTTTCCTTAACAAATTGTTTTTGCGCTGATCAGGGGGTACTTGGCTGAATTTTTTTTTCAAAGGGGGTACATGATTGAAAAAAGTTTGAGAACGACTTTGCTACAGGGTAGGATTGCTACGCAGTGAAGACATAATCAGTACCTGGATTGTTCTTTTAATTTCTTGTGGGTTTTACAGTGAACCTTCAGCCTCCAGACGCTCTCTGGAGAACTGTTCTGCTCCAGGAGCATCAGCAGTGCCGTCAGTCGATCTGCAAAACAACATCAGTTAAATAAACACAAACAAGTGCTGCATTTGCCTTTTCACTCAAATAAAGCTGAAAAATTATAACCAGAAATAGGACGATCAAAATAAGTCAAGAAAAAATTATCCATTACAACCGTCTAAAAATATTATTTGTTGGACAATTTTTTTTGTTTGCCCATCCTTGATTTACCGTGAGTGATGAAGTCTGGATTGAGGATTAACTCGTCGGAAATGATGCATCCTCCAGAAACAAAAAGCTCATTGTAGCTGTTATTCTTGATGTCGTCCAGAGTATCGATCCCCACAAACACCACAGAGTCTAGACGCTTCAGAGACACTAGACCTGGGATCTGTGGAAGTTAAGTAAGAATCATGAGTAATGTTTATACATTTTCGTGACTTCCGGTTTGAGGTGTGCCGAGTAGACTTGTGCTTGACTGGCTCTAACTTTTCCACTCTTATTTACCTTTTAAACCTCGTCTTTTTTCAACATAATTAGTTTGCAACAGTTTTATAAGCCAGTGTTAACTACAAAGACCTCAACCCAATGTCGAAAGGAAAGGGAAACCAAGCTGAAAAGGGCAAAGGGTCTCCATCAGTGTCGACTCATAGCATAACTCCAGCTTCGACTCCTGGCATAACTTTGGCTGACATTAGCTTGCTGCTGGAGGAACATGGAGCAGCTCTCAGGGCTGATTTCAAATCCTCATTTGAGTCTCTGACATCTACATTACATTGCATTTAGCTGACGCTTTTATCCAAAGCGACTTACAATAAGTGCATTCGACCAAGAAGATACAAACTTGAAGAAAACAGAATCATATAAGTACATCAGGTTTCATAGAGCTAAAACATTTCAAGTGCTACTCAACTGGCTTTAGATAAGCCAGTCCTTTGTTAGTATATAAGTGCTTTGTTAATAGTTCTATCAGTAATTCTTTGTTAGTAATTCTTTGTTATATAAGTGCTTTGTTAATAGTTCTATCGCTCGAAGTGGAGTCGAAAGAGATGAGTTTTCAGTCTGCGCCGGAAGATGTGTAAGCTTTCTGCTGTCTTGATTTCAATAGGGAGCTCATTCCACCATTTTGGAGCCAGGATAGCAAACCCACATGTTTTTGCTGATGGGAACTTGGGTACCCCTCGCAGTGCGGGTGCAGCGAGCCGTTTGGCCGATGCAGAGCGGAGTGCACGTGCTGGGGTGTATGGTTTACCATGGACAGCATACACTCCACTATCACAGAAAGCGTATAAATTATCTGGAAGCTAATGGTACTGAAGTCGACCAACGTCTCCAGCAACTTGAGGACGCATGCTCTGCTCTGAAGGGGGACAAGGAGACACTTTAGATACTTTCTGACCTGGATTTTATCAAAACTATTAGGAATCGCATTGACCTTTTTGTTTCCACTCATTTTAACCCGGCTGTATCTGCAGCAACAGTTTGGGAAGCGTGCAAGGCCTATCTACGAGGGGAAATAATATCCTATTGCGCATACCAAAGGAAAATCAATACTGAGAAGAGTATCTGCCTTTCCAGGGCTTTATCAGATCTGCAGACAAGATGTGTAGACTCCCCCAGTGCAGATCTTCTCAAATAATTACTGACAAAAAAGGCTGAATTTGACCTTTTGGCCTCAAAAGAGGCAACAAAATCACTTTTAAAAACACGCCATAATTACTAAGAATTCAGAGATATATACAATATACATATTGTATTTTTATTTATTTTTTATTTCATTATTGTCCAATTGTAACTCATGTATTGTTTATTGGGGTTGTTTTGTTAGTAATCGCAGGGTTAACGTATTGTATTGCTGCTGTCTGTGTATTGAAAATCTCAAAAATAAATCATATAATAAAAAAAAGGTTTATACATTTTCAGGGGTCAAATACATAATCTAAAATAGCCTTTAAATTTTTTTGGACAGGCTTGTTACATTGTTATACTTAGGTTAGGTTACTGATTACATTTTATTTTACAGGAAACTGGTAGCGGAATACATTTTTAAAGTAACCCTCCCTCAGGAGGTACCTTGTGAATGTGTCCAGCTATGTCTTGGTTCTGAATGACAACCAGCAATCTGTCTGCAGCATTCTCTTGGTTCAGAAAAGCCATCGGACTCTGCTCCGCATTCCCCTGCTTCAACAGGTTTGCCTGCAACAGATGAGACCACATACACACTGTATACACAAAATAATATAATAATTTAACATCAATAAGGGAGAACCTATATTCCAAGAGCATCTGATAAAACAATAACTAGATGTCAAATAATGTTCATGAATCTCTGCCATTGATTTCCAGTGTGAACCAAACCCCTCAATCGGGTATCGGCCGCTTAATCACATTTTAAGTGTGCAGCCCATGAGCTTACCTTAACCTCTTGATGGATCTGGTCCCCCGGCTCGATGCTGTGGAGGTAGAACTGTAGGGTGTTTCTCTTCACTTCTTTGATGATCTTCACCAGACTGTTAAAAACTTCCGGCTTCAGCTGGCTGATCAGGGAGCTCAGTGCTGAGGTCGGGGGGGTGGTGGTGGCGCCGGGGACGGAGGCAGAGACTGGCTCAGAGACAGAGCTGAACCCTGGCAAACTCCCCTCGTATTTTGTACCTGCAAGACTACTCCCCCCCATCTCACCACTACAGTGCTCAGTCCAGTCCTCTTTTGTTTGTCTGATGTTATGAGTTCTATTGATCTCTAAACTCTGCTGTTTCCAGTGGGAGTGTGGGGGCTTGTTGGGAGCAGGAATGAGGACAGAAGTGTTAGCCGGCTTGTAGGCAGAATCCGACGGAGAGGTAGTAACAGATAAAGAGACGTGAGACAACAACATGGGACTGATGTTGCCTGTAGCATCGGGAACATGCTTAGGGATTGTGTGCTGCTCCCACGGATCACTTCCTCTGGAGAGTGCAGGGTTGGTACTGATGTCAGCGGCTGTCAGTTCACCAAAGATACCGTCATCTTCTCCACTCGTTGGAGCTTTAGATGCTCTGATGCTGGACACAAACTCACTAACTCTGCTTGCTAGTGCGTGATCAACATTAGTCCTGCTGCTGCCGGGTTTGTGGCTCGGGCAGGTGTCTTCAAACTCCGTTAGCATGCTGTTGATGCTGTGCATTAGTGAGCTAACGTAGTCCTGTACTGGGGGGCAGGGGTTGTAGAAAGAAACATACTGTGAAAACTGAGATATTGGGGCGCATGGGAGTGTGTGTTGAGGTGCGGAGGTTTCTGTGTTGGAGGTGGAATGTGGGGAATGTGGGAGGCTGTAATGAATGCTCTGCTTCTGCAGGAGGAGCTGCATCTCAGAGGAGAAGTCGTCCAGGTGTTTGTCAACGACGTTGCCAAGACAAGTAGGAGGTACGGAGACGGGTGGAGAAAACAAAGAGCCATCTACAAGGTCCTTCACTTCCCCATCCATAAATTCCACCTCCTCCTCCTGGTCTTCTTTCACTCGCTTCTTGAGAATATTAACTATTTCTACCTCCTCTGAAACATCTTCCTTCACCTCCCCTTCTCCATCCGGCTGAGTTGAGGGTGGTGACGGGCTCCTCCTCCTCCTCTCTGGCGCTGGAGGTACAGATGGCTGGATGGATGCAGAAATAAATGGCTCTTCATTCTTCTTTTCCTTTCCCTGAGGTGTCTTTTCTCTGTCCTTATACGGCCCTGCAGGAGGCAGAATACACAACAGAGGCATACTGAGTAAAGAAAGTATATAACACATTCATTTAAGTAGGTGGAATGGATGAGGGGGGAGTCTGAGAGAAACTCCCTCTGGAGGAAATGTTGGGATTTTAGCAACAAATGTGGAAATATTTCATATGGCCAATATCAAGCAAATCCAGTCAAACAGATTAAAACTTGAGCATGTGTGAAGTTACCTGCAGATTCCCTGGAGTGGAGGTGGGCGACCGGCTCCACGTTAGCACATCTGTGGTTGCTGTTAAACTGGTTGAGGTCATTAGGCTCCGCTGGCCGGGAGCAGGAGGGGAGGGGGGGGCGGCCAAGGAGACGAGGGTCCAGACGTTGTGTAGGTCTTCGTTGTGGAGAGGGGCATTTTGGGGGAGAGGGGGGAGGGCTGGGCTCCGGGGACGGGCATTGAGAGGGGAGGCGGGGGACTGGGCTCTGGAACGGCACTGGGAGGGGGGAAGGGGGGGGGCTGGGGTCCCTGGTGACGGGCAGGGAGATGGAGTGAGGAGGCTGTGCTCAAGGGGGATGCGCATCGGAGGGGGGAGGGAGGAGTGCTTTGCCTGGGAGACGGGAGGGAGGCTCTGCCTGGGGGGTTTGCTGGTTGTGGTGATCGTCGTTGCCGTGGTGAGGTGAGGACGCGAGGGTCCTGAAGGAGTTTTCTGTCTCTGTGGTGTGACGTGAGAACTTAAGCCCCTACAAAAGAGAGCAGAAGTTTAAAGGAGAGATTTGTAATGCTGGTCACATGCTAGGCAAAATGTTAATTTATATTGTGATATATATGTCCAATCCAATTAAACTGTTAAGATGATGTGGATGTTTGTGAGATTTGGTGACTTTGGTGCAGCTACATTATTTATACAAGTTTCTCCACTTTTTTTCTCATTTTCCCTTATTTACTACATTCTACATGCAGCTCATTTTCAACTATTATTGCAAATATGACATATTGGGATATGTAAAACAAACTAGAAAATGCATTTCGCTGCAGAAAATGTGTGCGAATGCTGTAAAACTGTGAACACTTGTTGCTGAATTTTGCTGAAAAAGCAGAAATATTATTATAGACTGAACGGTCGTTATGTAACTGACTTTTAGCTACAAAAACCAAAGTAAGTGTGTGCTAAACTCTGCGGAGAAATGCAGAAAAGTGAAATGATTTGAGTCAACATTGTATACAGCTCAAATGCATTGGCAAAGACTTTGTTGAAAACTTGAACATGAAATGTATAAACTGGAAGAGTAGGAAAAATAGTGAAGAAGCTATAATATTTAAAACAGGCATATGCAGGGAATCCTGAAGTCAAATTCAATACCTTTTAAGACCTTTTTTTAAGACCCTTTGTTACCTACATTTTAAGACTCATCGCACATCTTGAGTTCTAACCGGTTACATTGGCAACACACTTTACCTCACATCTACTATAATTGATTGTAAGATAGCAAAACTAAACAGAGTGCAGACAGACTACTCTGAAGCCTCCTTTCCACATGGAACTATCACCTCTCTGTGAAGGTCAGGTTTAATGCAGTTATGCTGCATTTTTTGCTTTCTGTAGACCTCTTGTGCTCTTTCATTCCAGTAAAACTCCTCAGAAAACATTAGAAACCAGTATTTGACCAATGGACAAAGCAATTGACAAAACTTTGAACTATGAAATATGTTAAACTTTATGGTGAGCTTCAGCGGGGGTAATGCCCATATAGGAACTCCCCTCAACAAATACCCAGGGGTTAAATTGGCTGGGGCTGTCGGGGGCTAAGCGCTGGCACATAAGACGATGCCCTGACGTCATCACCCTCACACATTTGTCATCATGTTACAAAAAAGGATATATAATGTTAAGACTTTTCTCCGTTCTTAATATAGACTATATTAGGGTCTATATGTGTTGACTTTACCTTAAAATAGCAGATCCACTGTTGACCGGATATAATAGTTTTGGCTTAGACCAAGGCCGGCCACACTAAAACGCCATACGCAAGCGCAAAAGGCTTCGTTCACACGCATTCGATCATTAAGTGCCGTTCACAACTAAGAAACCGCCTGCGAATGCTGGAAACGATGTAGTACAGTGAGGCCTGTAAGTGGCGTGCTGCCCCGAAATACACCAAAAGCAGCGAAGAAGACCCCGGAGCATGGTTGCCATGGTTGCCCTTCTGTTTATTCTCCGCGGTGGACGGCGTGTTCTCCTGCTGTATCTCTCAGAGTCCACAGCAGATGAAAAACACCCAACTCACCGCCTCTTCCAAGGAACGAGGGGACCGTGCGGCAGAGTTTCCGCAAAAAAAATGTTCCGCCGGTCAACATGTCCGTTAAAGTTTAAATCTTCCGTACAAAATTAGGAAAGTGCCGGTCAGAGGTCTTCTTTGTTATTTATTGAGCTTTAAAACAAATTGATAACGACTCTGTTCTCTGTATAATAATATAAGAATATTTAATAAACGGTGACTGCCTCTCTTTTTCTCCCCCTCTTCTGACAGCCCAGCAGCAGCAGGAGACGTGGGGAGAGGGAAGCGCATCGTTATCAGAAAATGATCATATAGGGCACACACGGAGCCGTTGGACCCCCAGAGCGTTGCGTATGCCGGTCTACCCACCTTGGGACCCGTTACCGTAGTCGTTTATCCCCCCCCCCCCCACACACACACACACAGAGCGGAGCAAGGCAACGAAACTTAAAATAATAAGCAGCATTTTACGGCGCGTTATGCATGGGGCCGCCTTGTGGGGTTTCCCGACATGTCGTTTCAGTCAATTAAAGGGTGTTTCATGTTGTCGTTGCTGTGAACCTTCTTAATACCTTGGAAAATGCCGTTTAATACTTTTTAATAGCCTTAATTTTCGCTAAATTTATTTATCAACTTTTAATACTTTTTAAGACCCCGCGGACACCCTGTAAAAGATAATGTTTTAAAAAAGGTATAAACAACCAAATGTATAGCTTCAATGTCCTGAAATAGCTGAATACGTTAAATGTTGAATGGTTTCTGTAGCTGAAAGCAGGCTGAAGGAGTTGGATATTATAAGCGATTAGTACTGAATGAATGTGTATTAAGAAGAGAAAATATAGTAAAAAGGTTTTGAAAAGCAGCAGAATATTTTAAATACAAACTTTTGAACTAACTTGATGGCGAGTGATCTGTCGCCATGGCAACGGCATTTGATGACACCCCATAATATGTGTTGATGGCTGCATCGTTACCAAACCTGTGAAGTTTTGGGCCATTTCGAGCATTTTCACTGAAGTTATGAGAAAACCGTGTTTCATGATTAGCATTGTGTTGTCATGGCAACGGCATTTTGAAGAAATCTCAAAACGGTCACGTAGATGTCTTCACGGCTGGACTGTTAGCACACATGTGAAGTTTGAGCACTTTTTGAACATTTTCGTAGGAGTTATAGCGACATCGTGTTTTATGGCGAGGGATGGCAACAGCTTTTGAGGAAACTCACTATTGGCACATAGACATTTTGAGGGCTGGGCCATTAACCATTATCTGAAGTCTGGTGCTGTTTTGACCCTTTGCATAGGCGTTAGGAAAACATTGTGTTTTTTGGCGAGGGATGCGTTTCCATGGAAACGGCATATGCTGAGATGTCAGATTTGACCTAGAGCTGTGCACAGCATTCGCACTAAATATTCCTTTTAGATGTTCCAAATTAGGCCTTATTCTGAAAGTAGCAGTGTATGATTTAAACAAATGAGAACGCCAACATTAGCCATTATTTGGGTTATAGGATAATTATTCAAGCATGTAGACAGCATATTTGGAATATGCGTCTACATTTTGTCTATACCGCAGTTAGCAACACACACACAGTTTTGTGCATTGAGCACAAACTAACTAGTGTTCAACACTAGCGTAGAGCATGCACGCAGAAAAGAAAACATTTCTAGTCAGAAAGACTTAAATATCACCAGGTTTATGGATTTGCACAAATATTACAATGCAAACTTTTTTGAGAAGGTAGTTGGGGAAAGAATGAAGGAGGATGTGTAAACGGGAATATAAGAGAAGTCATTATCCATGTTAACAGGTAAATAGCCTTGGCAGACAGACAGACCTGTAATAGGGATGAGAACCCACGGGATCTTGTCCTGTTCCTCCTCTTCCTCTTCATATCCCCCTGCCCTCTTCCCGAGCCCCCCTCCTCTTCCTGCTGCTCCATGGTGATTCCCCTCCCCGCTGTGGGAGCCGGGACTGAATCCCTCCGAACTACTGATGCTGACGATTGTCTGCTCCTTCACACACACAGAAACAAAAATGCGCATTAACCTTACCTGCTCCACTTTAATTTACTTAATTTTTGATCTACTATTGAAGATAGTGTAGAACAATTAATAGGCAAGAAGTGCCTGAATAATAGGGCGACTGTGGCTGTGAGGGAGTGTGGTCGTCTTTCAACCAGAAGGTTGTGGGTTCGATCCCAGCCCATGCAGTCAACATGTCGATGTGTCCTTGGGCAAGATACTTAACCCTGAGTTGCTCCCGATGGCATGGCCAACGGTGTGTGAATGTGTATGAATGTTAGTTCCGAGAGTAAGGTACACTGCTCTGTGTGAATGGGTGAATGACATGTAGTATGTAAAGCGCTTTGAGGGGTCTTAAATACTGGATAAAGCGCTATATAAGTACAGTCCATTTACCATTTACCAATAAGTTCAATTGGAGTTTAAAAATATCTATCAATAATATCAATTAAAATACAATTCAGCTGTTTCTATTGGAATGCCATATAAACTCTAGAGAAAGAGTTGCCTGTAAAACATGCATGTATACTGTAACAAACTGTGCATTAAATATTCAATTTTCTTTGTTATTATTAATTTACACATTAATTTTTTTATGTACAATTTTTGTCATGGAGGTTCTTCTTAAAATGTGTGACACGGGCATATGTTCAAAAATATTTGTTTTAAAGATTGATGAAGCCTAAGGTTTTTTGAATTGCATGTATTCATTTATTTTATACACAGAATGAGGATTGTGCTTTGTCTACTATATTGAGAGTAGATTAAGGGATCATGTCACCACTGCTGTGGTATTTATGAGCATTATGTAGCTTATGTATTATGATAACCTTTTTAAATAATCCTTAAATATCATTTTGGTGCCAACATTATTTATCTTTCGAAAAAAAAAAAAAGGTGTTTGTTTGAAAGAGGTATTTCTATGTAAGAATGACAACATATATTAAAATCTATATTTGGCTTCTTTTTTTTGAAAAACAGTACCGGTAATCTTTAAACTGTTACCTCCAGCTCCTCCTGATCCCTCAGGTCGATGTCACAGTTGGTGGGCAGACCCAGTTTGGTGGCCAGCCTATCAAAGGGCCAGGATGTCTTCTGCACCGCCTCTTGTACTTCACTCTGATTGGATGTTCCTCTTGCTGCCTGTGTGAGGCCTGTATGTTGGAAAGGATCAATCATTTAAAAAGAGTTTTGAATTTCATCAGGAGTTTTCAAAATGTTGTTCGCGTAACATTATGCACCGATTGCAATTTCTTTGGCCAATTCCGATTTTAGTTTTTCAATGCAACTGTACTTTAAGAGGAGAATCTGAGAAAAGATTAATCTATAATGTCTTTGTAGGCCTATTATAGAGAGTTCCTTATTTACTTTCCGTGTACAACTACATATTTCTCCAATCATTTATTCATTCAAAACTATTCTTCAACCAGTATATATTTACAAGAAAGCTAAGGTGTATGGATTATATTATCTATAAATATATGAACTATATTAATCTAACTGTATTATATACGCTCGCCAGAGAGAAGATATCCTGCAATTACTAAGAGCCGCAAGCTTAGCAATGAATTACAAAGATCATTGTCTGAATATGTTATTAAAATATTGATAACTGTTTTTCAGAAAAAAATGGGCTGAAGACGTTCATAAAAGGTTACACATTTAAATGAGGAATTCTCAAACTTTGCAACACTAAGTGTGTGTCAGCGTGCCAATAGTGGGTTAATGTGTGTGCGTTTGGTTATTTAGGACGGGAAACTTCATACATGTCATATCATATGTCCATCATATGCCAGATTTAACAATACTGTACAAGCTAATATTCTTCTGCAGTCCTTGATTGGTTGACGGCCATAAAAGGAAAACACAAAGCTTAGTGAAGAGCATGCGTTTAAATTTCAGCGGCAGAGATTTTCAAAAATCTGATGTGGTCATGGGAAATCAAGCTGAAAGTTTAGTGATGAATCTATAATCATAAACATGTGTGCTAACTCGTGTTTAGGTGCAACTTGAACAACTTAAGGAAATGGTCAAATAAATGTATACGGATAAAAAAGAAAAGGATATAAATAAAATATGATATGCTGGAAAAAGTTGTAATGTATAATGTAGAAGAAGAAAGTCCCAGAATCCAGTCACCTTTTAGCAGAGAGAGTAGTCTAGTAGCTAATTCAGATCCATCTTCCCTTAGATCCACGTCCTTCAAACCTACCGAACCAATCACAGACGCAAGAGAGCCAGGGGGGGCGGGAACATGGCTTCCCTCAACTAGGAGCCCAGAGTGGGGAGGAAACATTAAACACAGTAAGCAGTAAGACATTTGCGGAAAGCAGAAATTCATAGAACGCATAAAGAACAGTGAATACTATGTCCTGTCAAGTAGTTAGATGCTCCCTCAGGATAATAAAAAGCTAGTTTTAAAGAAACCTCCTGTCTCCTCACCGGGAAACTTGCTGTGTCTTCCGGGTTCCTGTGATGCCTTCAGGAACTTTAGTGTCCTCTCTGCCGTCTCCTGTTCCATTTTCCTCTTCCTCCCGTGTACCTTCACGCCTCCTTCTCCTCCCTCCTTTCTCACCACAGTCTCTGCTTTTCTCTTGCAGGTCAGAACCAGGTCGACCAGCTGCTGCATCTGAGTGGCAAAGAAATCACGTGTTCAGTTCAATACAATAAAGGCCGATATGACACAAATAAATATATAACAATAGAATTAAGGGTTTCTAATTGTCTATTATGTCATACTAACAACATATTAGTAAAGAATTGTCAACAAATGAATTCAAATTGTGTTGTTATTTGTGAAAATATCTGAAATATAAAATGGTATAGTTAAAAAGGGAAACAAATTATATAAAAAGGTACAGGCAACACAGGTGGGAGAGTAGTTCTAGCAGTCTAGCAGAAGCTCAGAGAAAGCTTGTAATTTTTTTTTTAAACATTATTTAGTGATTCAGGAGCAGAGGATTCAACTTTAAATATGACTTTTATTTTAGTGACTGTAATAACAGATTGGGTCACTCAACTTATATTATAGGGTGATGTCTAGGGCTGCAACAAACGACTAATTTGATAATCGATTAATCTATCGATTAATGAAACGATTAATCGATTATTCGGATCGTTAGGGTTTTAACTGTACTACTACTGCTTATCGATCCGGTCCTTTTAACGATAGTATTAACGGTTCTTTTGACAAGAAATAAGGTAAACTAACTAAACAAATTGCGAACAAAACTAACATTGCTTTTTATTTTAATTAAATGCATAATATTTCACATCAAAAGAAACAACAATGTTTTAACAAATCGTATTAAATAATCTGATGACAGAACTGTAAACAGAATAGCTGAAACTTTAACAAAATAAATAACTCAGTTACCTCTAATCATTAACCTTTGTTTTTGGGGTGTGTTGCTGTGTGTTGCTGCTAGCATACATAGCACCTGACGTGGAAACGTTACTCGTGGACGGGGCTACAGAGCTGCTAGAAAGACATTCGAACCCGGTGCATTTCTCCGTCTGAATGTGGAGCACTTTTGCTAAATGTTTAGACAAATTGCTCGTGCACCCTTACATGCTAAACTCTTATTGCACTTTTGGTAACGAGGATTGTCCACATCGAGACGGGTAAAGTTTAACCACACCTCGGAGCGCGTTCTCTCCGCCATCTCCTCCGTGTGTGTGTGTGTTGCATGCATGTAGCAGCTGCGTGTGTAAACTGCCCCGCCCCCTCGCAAGCAGGCGGGGGAGAGATCTCTCGTCTGAATTGGGAAGATTGAAAATACATTATAGACGCATTTTGTAGTCATATTGTATATTAGAAACGGAGTTGGCGACACTAAGNCCGATGCTCTCCGTTACACCTTCCAGACGAGACATAACCACGTGAAGACCTATGGTGAAGACACGTTACGCTCGTGTTGTGTTCAATGAACCTGTCCTTGGCCAGGAAAAACAGGCACTCGCTTATTTAATTATTTTGCGATCTAGATTTTTTCTTCTTTTTTGAAGTGAGAAGTTGTCTGACGGACCCCCCCCCCCCAAACAAAACGAAAACTCTTCGGTTCTCCACGAATTACACAAGTCACCCAAATCAGCGTTAAAAAAGCGGGAGGCGCCAAAAAGCGACTAATTTGCATCACTGTACATTACAATTGCCAAAATTACAGAAAAAACGAATGTAAAGATACAGGAGATAACAGGAGATGTTATGCAAGATGCATCAGGTGAGGAGGGGCAGTGTTAGTCGGTTGGTTCACTAGTTATATTCATAGGGAAATTCCATTTGTAACAGACATACATGTTCCACAAAGGATATACCAAAACCTTCAGTCGTAGAAACGTATATCAGTGTGTGTAATTGGGTCACAATTCAGGTTTTTCAATACCTTTGGTTTTGATTTATCACCTTAAAAACGAATGAACAAAAAGTGCTAATGAGCAAATGTTAACAGGCAAACATACTTAATGAATATAATTATATTATTTGAAAATTCCCTTTTGAACATTAGCATGCTACAGTATCATTGTTATTGTGAGCATGTCAACATTAACTTTAATGTTTGTAAATGTGGTCGTATATAAAAAAGGAATATGAAGATGTTAACTTCAGTTCTGGGAAAGTCTACAAATCTAATACATGTATATTTCAAATGATGTGTTATCACTATCCTTAGATAAATACAAGGTATACAAAGCATGATTATTTCATGTAAGCTGTTACAAATAAAGTATAAATGTCCAAACATTGTACAAAATCACAGCACTGAAAATCCAAAATAACAAGCTCCGACTGGTTAATTACTTTTTTGAGGAACATCCGTAAAAATGTCATATTGTTTTTTCTCTTCAACATCATCATCAATGTGAGGTATAATGAAATAATGAATAGATCAAAAGTGTTGCTGACCGTTTGTATGCACAGTGAAAGATAGCCGTTGGATTTCACATGGGATCTAAGTTTGATTATATTTATTCTCAGTCTGTCTTTATTTTCACAGGCAGAACACTTAATTACTTGTTATTTTCAACGATGAATGTCTCATGAGGATAAGACGAAAGTGTAAGAAAAATAAACAAATAATTAACCTGTTTTTGGTCTCAGGTCTCAGGCTCGAAAATGACCTTTCCACACAACAAATGACAATAACTTCACTTCTAAAACGGTTACATTAATAATCTTTTTTCTCAAAGTAATGATAAACCTGTGAGTTGGATGTAGAAAAGTCAGAATCAATATAGACATTTTTTTTATTTTAAAGAAAATTCAGTTTGAACATTGTAAAAACCTGTAAATGATAGTGTCCGTCCTATAATTATTTTTTATTTATAGTGAAAACCACCCTTGGATGATGGGTTAGTAGACTAAAAGCTTTAGGAATCCAAACTAGGGGTGCAACAACGAATCGACTTAATCGATTAAAATCGATTACCAAATTAGTTGGCAACTAATTCAGTTGTCGATTCGTTGGTGACGTCATCACATGTGTTCTAAACCCCGTTAAGCTGCTCCAACGTTATCACTCTTTTTTATCGGTACAGGAGAGATTTAAAACATATGTCATATGTATTATTGCTACATAAACATTATATCGCAGTCTTAGTGTCGCCAACTCCGTTTCTAATATGCAATATGACTACAAAATGCGTCTATAATGTATTTTCAATCTTCCCAATTCAGACGAGAGATCTCTCCCCCGCCTGCTTGCGAGGGGGCGGGGCAGTTTACACACACGCAGCTGCATGCAACACACACACACGGAGGAGATGGCGGAGAGAACGCGCTCCGAGGTGTGGTTAAACTTTAGCCGTCTCGATCTGGACAATGCTCGTTACTAAAAGTGCAATAACAGTTTATCATGTAAGGGCGGTAACACGAGCAATTTGTCTAAACATTTAGCAAAAGTGCTCCACATCCAGACGGAGAAATGCACCGGGTTCCAATGTCTTTCTAGCAGCTCTGTAGCCCCGTCCACGAGTAACATTTCCACGTGAGGTGTTTGATTGATTGATTGAAAAGTTTATTAACAGCTTGTATATTGGGTACAGTACAGCTCAAAACATACAATTCTTAAGGGGATGCAGACCAGAGAAAGACTTTCGTCTTGTTTACATCAGGGTCCCCCATTTCCAATTCATCATATGTTATGTATGCTAGCAGCAACACACAGAGTTGCTAGCAGCAACACACAGAGTTAACTCAGTTATAAAAACATAGGTTAATGCATGGGCGTAGTTTCCACTGGGGACAGGGGGGACATGTCCCCCCCACTTTTCAAAATCCCGTTTGTGTCCCCCCCACTTTTCAAATGTGTTTATTATAATTTTTGTATGCAAGCGAGACAGAGAGAGTTACGGGGGTTGTTGTTAGCATCTGGTGCTAGCTCGGAGCTAACGGAGATTAGAAGCTGTTTCAACAATAAGGAGAGGGAGAGTCCTCTCCTGTCGGACTGAGAGGCTGAGATNCTACATGCATGCAACACACACACACACGGAGGAGATGGCGGAGAGAACGCACGAGGATTGTCCACATCGAGACGGGTAAAGTTTAACCACACCTCGGAGCGCGTTCTCTCCGCCATCTCCTCCGTGTGTGTGTGTGTTGCATGCATGTAGCAGCTGCGTGTGGTGTGTGTGTGTGTTGCTGCATGTAGCAGAGTGTGTGTGTGTGTGTGTTGCATGCATGTAGCAGCTGCGTGTGTAAACTGCCCCGCCCCCTCGCAAGCAGGCGGGGGAGAGATCTCTCGTCTGAATTGGGAAGATCGAAAATACATTATAGACGCATTTTGTAGTCATATTGTATATTAGAAACGGAGTTGGCGACACTAAGACTGCGATATAATGTTTATGTAGCAATAATACATATGACATATGTTTTAAATGTCTCCTGTACCGATAAAAAAAGAGCGATAACGTTAGAGCTTAACGGGGTGTAGAACACACGTGATGACGTCACCAACGAATCGACGACTGAATTAGTTGCCAACTAATTTGGTAATCGATTTTAATCGATTAAGTCGATTAGTTGTTGCACCCCTAGTGATGTCCCAATTTAACTGAGATAATTGTTGAGAACAGTTCTTATACGGTACTGAGTCTGGCTCTGTGCAGGTGTCTTTTGTTTTAGACCAAATGTCAGTTTTCACCTTCTGAGTGTTGGTCTGTCCCTCTCGAGAGCTGCTGGTCGCCTCCTTCCCTATCACCTCTCTGTGTCCTCCAAGGCTCCTCCTGAGCTTGGCCTCCTGAGACTCCTCGGGGCCGCAGTGCGCCTCCACCATCTGTTTAGCCCGGGCCACAGACAGCAGGTGCAGGGTGGGGGTGTACAGGTAGGAGCGCAGGTAGCCCTCCATGTTCACCCGGTGTTGTTTGGGAGCAGGAAACAGCTTCATGCACTCATCCAGTTTGGAGTCGTACTCGCCCATCGGGTACTGTCGAACCTGGAGGGCAAAGACAGAAATATGTGCTTTAGTGTTATGATTGAAGGGAAAATAAGATAAAGTATTTACTTAAATAACTAATGATACCTGTGTATTTCTGTAAAAAAACCTTTTCTACAGGAGGGTAATGAGTTAATGGCTATTAGGAGAAGAGGGAGTGAAACCAGTTATGTCCACATATCTCTCTGTGAGCCGGAGAAGGAGAATATGGTGATAACTGAGAAGTGTTCTAAAGTCAACGGAAAAATAAGTGAGAGGAGCCCCAGCAGACGAGTCAGATTTGTTTATAACTGATGATGTGTGTGTTGTACTTCATCTACTCTGCATACTAGTTTGGTGTTTTGTAATCAATGTGATCCAAAGTAAACCTATACAGATACAATTCTGATATCCGTCTCATTTTTGTTTAAGCCTGTTTAATTGAAAAGTCAGTTAGGAATCTAAAACCAACCGGCCCACTTGAAGATCTATTTATCATCTATTATTTGTCCATTAATACTTGTGCTATGTATTCATTTTATTTAATATATTTTGTATATGATCATGATACTGGATGTTTGTAAGTATGCATTAATGTTTGTTTAATCATTATTTTACTTTTTTTAAATAATACAATTAATGTTACCTTCCCATCGGTCAGGCCGACCAGGTATTCCCGTGTGAGGTGCTCCACGCCTGCAGACAGCTCAGGGGGGTGGTTGGCGCGGGCCTTCACCAGAGCGTGGTGCAGCGCTGGAATAAACTGTGAGAGCCGTGGCATCACCGGGCTACCAGATTGTGATGCATTATGGGACGAGGAGGCACCCCTGAATGCTTCAGGGAGGAAAGAAGAGAACATTTAGAGTTACATCAGAACTTCAGATTTGACCCACTGTTTAGCGTTTACGGTTTTATTCCTTTTTTAAACTGGGTTTATAAATGTTGTTTATATCAGCCGGAGGTTAACTGACTGTTATATTGTGATAAAAAGGCTGTAGTTTATGGGGACAGTACAGCAGATTATTGGAAATTGTTGTTAAAGTTGCTGTTAACTCAGGGAAACTAAACACTTTTTGCAGACTTTTGTAAAGTAAGGTATAAGCAGGAACACTTTTATTATGAAATACCTTGCAGTAAGTGTTTTCAAAGACAGTAGCTTAACAGCAATTTTAAATAAAAAGAATGACAGAAAAGGAGAAATAAATAAAACAGATCATTGTCTCCTAACTCTGCAGCCCTGCTCAGGTCTTTGAAACATTTGAGCCTCTTTTAGCTAATTCCTTTTCACTTCATCCTTTAGATCAGTATTTGGGGGCAGATGGGTATAGTTGAAAGGTTCTGTATTGTAAAATAAAGCATATCAGTTACTCACTGGATTTAGAAAGATCTCTGGACTCTGGGAAGACAAACAACGCCTGGAGACTTCTCTTCCAGTTCTCTTCTCTCTCTGAAAAAAAAATCATTGTTATTCCTATTCTTCTGATTCATACCTACAACCAAAACAAATATAACTTTCCTTGATACATTTGGCTCTAAACAATTCATTGACACAGTTGACATTTATATTTTTGAAAGCTATGATGATATAGTTTGAAGCCAAGCGGTTTAAAAAAAACATACCAATTCAAAGAAAATATAATCCCGAAATGTTTTTGATGTTATATCAACCACATCTCTATCTGTATATATTTTTCTCATGCTTAATTAAATGTTACTTCAAAAAAAAAAAAAAGTTTAATTAACGGTGTACTAGCAAGTGGAATAATAGACATGACTTCTCCAATATTTTCCCAACCTTATTTACAAGTTCACCAAACCACATCATACCTGGGGGCGTGGTCATCTGAACACTGGATAACAGGAGGAGAAAGCCTCTGTCTGACAGTGCAGTCACCAGAACCTGAGGGGAAACGGACGACTGTCATTTAACAGTTATTCATTATTTCACTTTTTCTTTTAACGCAGTTCTCCTTTAAATCACTTTTTTCTAATTTATATATATTGAAAGTTTGGAGGTAATAATCCACTGTGGAAGATTTACAAACATCAATATCTTTTGAGATTGTGACACAAGTTTAAAGAGGCCCTTTTATGCTTCTTGGCGTTTTCCTTTCCTGTAGTGTGTTATACCAGATCCTGTTATTTCCCAAAGGTGCGGATTTCCTGTTAAAATAAAAAAGGTAGAAAAAAAACTCACCACTCTCTTTGTCTCCAGCTCCTGCAGCAGTCTGGTCACGCTGGTTGTAGACCGATTTCTGTCTGTCACCTCCAGAAGACTGCAGCAATGACGGCTATTCACAACTACACACACAAAAAAACACAAAATACCTCTGATGATACCAATATTACCTTTTTGTCTGCATACTTGCAAAGAACAACTATTTCAATAATATTCTGCTTCAATCTATATTTGTTTGCATTTAGCTTCGAAACACTACATTTTAAGTGCATGTAAAAACGTTGTGACCTCTCAGATACATGCATTGAGGCACATAATGAGAAGTTATAAAAAGTTGATTTAATAGAATTATAGAAATAGAAAGATAGATAGAATAGAAAGAATTCTAAATTAATATGATACATCAAATTAAGGATTTTCTTAAGGTCATATGTCTTAAAATATAATGACAGACATTTGATAACCTCAATAGAAGCTTTGATTGTAAAAAAGATATGAAATTGGCTACACAACTTGATAAATAGACACGACAGTGATGATTAAAAACAAATCGCAAAGGAATACATATTCTGCTGTCTTCTAATATTGTAAATGCAGGTTCAGGATTGATAACTTCAATTTGAAAAGTTTTAAGTGAAGTTCATCATGTGTTGCGATGTTGGGGGAGTCTGGGATTTATAATGTTCATTGCCAAAACTACGGAGTATCCATTGTGCATATGACAAATAAAGCCTTTGAATAATTGAATCCTTTGAGTCAGCTGCTGTATGGTCACTCAGTGTTAATCTGGCCTCACCTTGGTGGCTGCTGCTGTACAGGTTGTAGGAGAGCAGGTCAGAGGACAGGTACCTGGTCAGCTGCTCCAGCTTCATTACACAACCCATTTCCAACTTCTCCGGTCTGAAGCAGACACGAGGGGAGACACACAGAGCAAATCATCTTAACATGTGACGCACTGGTCTAACCTGTATTCAAATTATTAAGAAAGTTACTTCTAGTTGGGAGATGAACTCTCACAAAAGAAAATCAAAAGGAGGTTCATAGATCGTCCTTCACCCATTTGGTTTACACCATTACAAAATTCTACTAACCAGAAATGCATTTTCTTAACATTGGTTTAACAAATACATCCATCAAAGTTCTAACTGTTAAGGTCCAGTTCAAATGATCAAAGTAGGGGGTGCTCCATTATGGCAAAAATCATTACATGTTACTTGTTAGACGCTTTTATCCAAAGCGACTTACATACTCAATACTGTGGGCAATCCCCACTGGAGCACTTTGGGGTGAAGTGTCTCAGGGACACAACGACATGTTGACTGCAGTGGGGTTTGAACCTGTGACCCTCCGATCCGAAAACACCAACGCACTATTCATGCGCCACTTGCCTCCCATCATAAAGACGTTTATTTTGGGTCAGTTCACTATAGAGATCACAATTATTTTACAGGAATACTTGTTTACGTTGGACAAATCATGTATTTATTGAACTTTGAAAATCATCTATTTTTCTAGGTGGATTATTTTGCTTTCCTTTTTATTGTCTAAATAGGCTCTCTATCAGTCATATTGGCTCCAGATGAACCAAACACACCAACAGGATTTAATGAGGCTGCGGTTGGTAGACTCTTGGACCCTCTGTGGAGCATTTATCTGTATTGCATCACTCTGGTTCACTTGAAAGCAGAATGTATTTATTTATTACACTTCAGTAAAAGACAGGATAGGGGTCTATGTGGAGATAAAGTCATTAACATGGGGGTGTCAAGTCCCCTGTAGGGTTCAGTGTGAGAACAAGTTTTTAGAGAGTACTTGTCCATGGACAAGTGAGTTTGGCAATTTACTTGTCCGAATACATTTTTCACTTGTCCAGAACGGACACAAATTGGGGCCACTGGAATCTTCTTCTTCGCCATTGTATTTGACATTTTCTCACGGTTTTTACTAGGGATGTCCCGATCACCTTTTTTGCCGATACCGATTTTTCCCGATCCGATCTTTATGCAATGCATTAAGAGGAAAAAAAGCCTTCAAGTTGTCCCTTAAGGTTATTTTTTTATTTAAATTGGATATTCTATCCAACATGGATATAGCTTCCTTTTTTCACAGCAGCATTGGATCAGTTCAGTTGTGCAGCATTGGATCAAAACAAAATCANTGTGTCGTCCTTGGCAGTCTCAGTGTAGTTTGGACTAATTTACTTGTCCGAATACTATTTTCACTTGTCCAGAACGGACACTAAGTTTCGGGCCACTGGAATCTTCTTCTTCGCCATTGTATTTGACATTTTCTCACGGTTTTTACTAGGGATGTCCCGATCACCTTTTTTGCCGATACCGATTTTTCCCGATCCGANAACTGCCCCGCCCCCTCGCAAGCAGGCGGGGGAGAGATCGCTCGTCTGAATTCGGAAGATCGAAAATACATGATAGACGCATTTTGTAGTCATATTGCATATTAGAAACTGAGTTGGCAACACTAAGACTGCGATATAATGTTTATGTAGCAATAATACATAACATATGTTTTTAAATGTCTCCTGTACCGATACAAAAGAGCGATAACGTTGGAGCTTAACGGGGTGTAGAACACATGTGATGACGTCACCAACGAATCGACGACTGAATTAGTTGCCAACTAATTTGGTAATCGATTTTAATCGATTAAGTCGATTAGTTGTTGCACCCCTATTGTGTAATTTGAAACCAAAACTAAGGCCTCAGGATGACTTTAAGACTTGAACATGGTCATTTTTGTTTTGTAACATTGACATTTAAAAAAAAAAAAAAAAAGTATTTAAATTAAAAAATCCCGATCCCCGATTTTTTTCTCCCGATTCCGATCTTTTGAAAATCACGTGATCGGCTCCGATCCCCGATCACGTGATGGGATCATCTCTAGTTTTTACGACACCGCTAACGTAAGTGAGCGGTAAGATTTTACTGCATCACACATAGGGTTGGGTATCGTTTGGATTTTAACGATTCCGGTTCTGCTTTTTGATTCCAGTTATTTTCGGTTCTCGATTCCGGTTCTTTGAGAGGGTAAAAATAAGTCTGTCGAGATGCATTTCCTTAGGAATCGACAAGCAGAACCGAAACTAACATTTCTAAACTAACAATGTTGGACACGTACAATTTGCGAATGAGTTCTGCCTTTTGTAAACTGAATTTATCAATAATTTGACAATAAATCAGGGCGAAAAACGTCACTTGTCCACCGGACAAGTCAATTGAAAGATCTACTCGTCTGATACTGTAAATAACACGTCCCGGACGGTGGGACGACGTGTACTTTTTCGCACACTAGGGTTATTGGTTGGATATCTTGCTTTTATGAGGGTCACCTGATACAGGCATGGGTTTTATGGTTTTGTTTGTTCTACTTTATTCAGCTCAATGTAACCCACTCTAGGAAGGAAGTGTGCACACATTTAAGATCTATGAGAGCATAGAAGTATATTGTTTTTTATGTATTTGTTGCCTTACTCATCACTCAGTAACAGGCATATATTACAAAGTATTACTAAACAGTTTAAAGAGCTGGAAAAGTCAGGGCAGTACTCACAGTCTGTGGGGCAGTAAGGGAGGAGAGAAGCAGCGGAGGGATATCTGGAAGAGAAGCCGGTCACCTTTCACCAGATCTCCGCTCCACACTGTGAACTGAGCGCGCTCTGAGAGGAACAGACGATAGCCAACAGTTAAACAATCGACTCTTTGTTACGCTTAATGTTTGAATCTCTTTAAGACCTTGATACAATCACATTGGTGTGTGGGTCCTATATTTGAGCTGCATGTGTGAAGTTCATTTAAGGTGTGTTGTGATTTAATGACTCACCTTTACTGGCCTCTGCTGACTGACTGTTCAACCTGCCCATCAAACAAAGAGCACAAAGAACATTTTAATTAGGGCAATTAGTGCTCACTACTTAGGGGTTTATTTGAAAGTATTTAGTTTGAGTGTCTTCATTTAAACGTCGGGAGACCCTCAATATGCATCTGCTTATTAAGTGTTTCTGGATATTTTTATTTAGAATCATTCAATATGTTCACTTGTTTAAAACAATTGCATTTGAACTTGAACTAGATCTCCATACCTGATGGGGGCCAGAGGTTTGCTGGGAAGTGAAGAGTCTTTTCCTTTAAACAGGAAGGAGATGACGGCATACGGACAGACCTGACGAGGGCGCGGCCGCAGCTCATCAAAGGAATACTCGTAGAAGTATTGCTGAAAAACATAAAAAGAACAACAGCGCTCAAAGCTCAATTCAGTTTTGAGTCATACAAATATGTCATTACTTTATTTTCAAGGCACCTAAAGCCCTCACGCACCAAGCCACAGTACCACCAGGTGTTTCATGTGACACGTTTACATCTGAGATTTAAAAACACGATTAAGTTCCAATGTGAACATTACTTAAGAGAGCCTTATTAACAACGGAAAAAGCAGTTAAAAGCATTAACATAATAATTGTAATTTGATGTATCATTTCGCAGTGTTTCCCCTACCATTGTCTTGGCGGGGCGCTGCGCCCTGCCAACGGAGCCCCGCGCCCTGCCTGAAATTCAAGGTGTTTTTTTTTTGGTTTTTATTTAAAAAAAATATATATATAGCACCAAATTTCAACTGAAGTAATCTATCTACGGTCACTTTTCACATTGAACATGTTCTCTTTTATTAAATAAACTAAACGCCATGTTATTTATCCAATGTGTTCATGTTTCAGTGTCCACTGCTTTGCGTATTCACATTCTCCCTCCGCTCTGTTTCTGAAGGGCGGGGCTCACACACACGCGAATGCACACACTCACAATCAGAGACAAGAGCGGAGGAAAGGAGGAGAACAACAAAGTGTAAAAAAGTCAAACAAATCTGCTTTATTGCCCCGAGCTCTGCTGTCTGCCCGTTTGTGTCCCCCCCAAGTTTCAAATTAGTTTATTATTATTTTTTAACCGCAAGCCGTTATCGTCACGGGAGAAGGAAACACACAGCCTGCCCAGGTGGACGCGCGCGAACGCGACAACGAACGTAGCGTGCGCATTCTAAAAATAGCTCACAGATGGTGAGCAGGTACCGCGGTTTTGAACTACAGTATTGAATTTGACAGGAAACAACAATGAAACACCAGCAGAAGCATAGTCTAATGAGTTGGGTGAAAAAAAGACAGGAGATGTGAGTTGGTTTATTCAGTAAATTAGCTCCTGTGATGTGAGGCTAATGCAGGAGCTTGCTAGCTTGATGCTACCGGCATTTGCTTAGCGGCAGGACTCAACAAATCGCCTCTAAAATGTTTCGTCAGCAATGTATGACAGCAGACTGCTTGTTTAATGTTAGACTCACACCAATAACTCAAATATGATCATAACACGAATGCTTTCATATCAGGATCAGATGAGGTGGAGCTGCCTCCGCAATAGAGTTATGAGGCAAGAGAGACGGCAGCAGCAACAGCACAGGTTTGCAGCAGGTATTGGTTCATGCTGTTAGTCAGGTGATTTAAATGTATCAATGAAAGGAAGAAGTGTAGACTTACATGATAAGAGGGAATACAGTTTAGATAAAGTATACAGTACAGTGTAACCACTGTACTGTATTACTTTTTAATGTACAAATTACTTTGTTACTGTACAATATCAATAAAATAATCCACAGCTCACTTCTCTGCTCCAGAGGTAACAAAAAATGTGGGCGCCTCGACATTTTTTTTGGCAGCACCCTGCCAAGGCTAGTAAAACCCTATGGGGAAAACTAATTTGTATGAAAATATTTCTGTCAATCAAGTGTGTTGTGTTCTTACCTGTGTGAGTTCCAAGGCCGCGGTAGGAGGAGAGCGATGTGACTTTGGGCTGGCGTTCTGGAGGTTGTGGCTGTCCGAAGCGAGGCGTTGGGAGTCTAAAGGTTTTTCATGTTTTCATAGATGCTCTTCACTTTACCCTAAAATTTAAAAAAAAAACAGATACAAATCCAAAGGTCAAAAAAACAGATTTTTACCATTTCCGATCACTTTTTTTATTTGAAAGAAGGACTTAACACCAAGATCAGGTAAATACCATTATGTTATATCAGATGTTGAGTCCAAAATCATTCACCATAAAGTCACTAGTGTGTTCAAATTCAGGATTAATATTATTAGTATACTCGTGAAACCCTAAGTATTTTTGTCAGTCGCCCAAACACTCAGCATAACAATAAAAAGGTTTGAAGGCTAACCCCCCACATTTACAAAACGGGGGTTATCAATGAACAGATTAATTTGACCGAAGCATTATGTTTTTCCTCAAAATGTTCTTAAAGGATCATCATTTGATTTGTGAATTATTTTGACCTAAGATAATCGTTAAACAACAGATAATGTAACAGCTGCTATTAGAGATATTTTTCTGATCCAAAGATTTGGTTAATTAAGACCTACCTTTTTGAATACACGTATCTGATGTGTTTTTCATGTAGTCATGCTGGCGTAGGTAAGTATGTAAGGTATTGTGTCTGCAAGGCTCTTACATGACAGTGTAACCATATGCTTGGGGAAAACAACTAACATGTATCCACCTGGTTGGATATCTCTAAAAGGAGGTTGGGTGGTCTGTGACTGAAAAAGAAAATATCCATCAGAAACTGGAAGCTGATCAGAATTGCTGCTGCACGTATGTCCTCCACTAACACTAAAAAGACGTGGATCACATCAGTCCAGGTTCTTTAAATTCTAATCATTGGGCTTCCAGTCGGCCAAATAATGGATTTTAAGTACTATTTTGCTATTTTTAAATCACCTAAATGGCTTAGGACCAAAGTATATTGTTGACTTCCTGCATAATTACGAGCCATCAAGGTGCCTCAGGTCTTCTGGGACGGTCTGCTATCGGTTCCGAGAGTAAAAACAAAACATGGAGAGGCGAATTTAGCTTATTTATGCCCCGACCACTCTGGAACAAACTACCCAAATCATGCACGTCCGCAGAAACGCTTCACTATTTTTAAATCAATACTAAAAACAAATCTCTTCGGCCGCTGCTTTTAATTGAGGATGATCATATTCGACTACAGTATGCTTTTAAACATGTATTGTATACTGTTGGTGTTTATTTTTATATTTAATTTATCTTTGCTTTGTTAATGTCTGTGTTTGCTAAAATTGTAAATGTGTTTTTAATGTATTTATCCTTAAAAGTCTTTTAAATTTAGTTTATGTAAAGCACTTTGAATTGTCGCGTACAGAAAAGTGCGTATTATAAATTAAACTTGGCGTTGCCTTGATGAGGCAAATTTTGGTGACTCAAAAATCTTTGAGCGGTACAAATGTATTTACTTAGTACATATCTGACATCAACGATTAAACACGTGTGCATGTCTTATAACGTGAACTGGTCAAAACCACTGACAGGAAGTAGTTTTGAAAAAG